TAATACATAATCAGACACTGACCACTGTGTACCACCAGGAAAAAACACTAAACCTCAAGAGTGAGGAACAGTAGGCTGAAAACAGAGCAATAAAGGTTTCAAGTTGATACATCTTTTGTCCCTGCTGCATTAATACCTATTTTGAGTCTGACAGTGCAGTTAAAAGTTGCTCATCATGGCTTTATAATACAGACATGTAAAGCTTTATCATTCTTAAACCATAGATTTAAAGATAGATTCATGATTTCCTACCTTCCATGCAGCCTCTGTTTTCCATTCTTTATCAAACGAAAACTGCTGTATTCTGGCGCTAGTTCGACATAATCAAAACATCTACGCAGGGTAACTTATGCAGTACTTCTGGGTAAACCAGTACTACAAGTTTTGCATACCAGTGTTTTGATGCTGAGGTCAGATAACTACAATTCTAAAAGTGTATTGTGATGTTTGTATGTTCACCTTGCATCGGCTCTTCATATAGATGCATTTCTCTGGTCAGCACTCTGACATTGCGGCCGCTGCACCTGTGTATGTGTTTGTGTGTCCCAAGAAACACCTTAAGGACTCCCTCCTGCATTGATTTAGTGAAACGCTACATGTGAATGAATGGCGGGAGCAAATTAGACTATTTCCAGTATGTAAACCTGGTGACCATTACACGTTTCTACCAAAGGCTGTTACTTTTCCTTATTGAATTCAACATTCTGGTGTGAACATTGTGACTCATTGTGAGCAAACAAATCTATTCTGTGCTCTGTAAATTATACACACAACCAATCACACTCAGTTAAACTCATAGGCCCTATAATGATGGTTTCATTCGAGGAAAAAAAAGAGCCACCGGACATGAAAGAATCAAAAGGTGAAAAAAGCGTAGCAACTCCACTTTAGCCAGTTACATATTTTGTCATAATGCTTCCCGGACGCTTTAGATCAGGCCGTCTTATTGGATACACAAAAAGCCAATCGGAATTTGACAACTTCCATTCTCTGATTGGTTGGTTTTATGTTACAATTTCAAGCTGTGCCTTTAGTGTGCAAAAAGAGGACATATGAGAGAAACTGAGTGAGAAGGATTATTATTGCACTTTAAAATCAACATAAGCAAACATGAGCATAGAATAGTTTTAGGTTTGGTCTATAAAAATGACTTTTTCGTAATAATTTCCTTGCAAAATATAATTTATGCGGTTGCAAAATGTCTTCAACAATGTCTTGTTTCTGTGCTTCGAGAATGAGGCACCCATGTAAAGTCATACACAATGAATTTCCTTTAGTTTTGCAAGGATCTCTTGAGTCATTAAAAACGACATCATTACGGGACATGGATGAGCGTGATTGAGATGGGACCGCATGCAACCTTAAAATTCACAAGTAGAGAGGAGTCAATGTTATCAAAGTGATTGAGTAATATATGAATCTCTCATGGAAACACTAGCTATCAAAAGTTACTCGTCACACCAGACTGAAGAGGTTGTAATGTCAAAGCGGTTTAAGATCTTATAAGAGGAAGATATGGTTAATACTTACTTTAAAGTCTTGATTTAAAAAGCATATGTAAGCTAGCTTTGGGGGGGAGACACTTAATTCCCACCACTTAATTCAGATACAACTAGTATTACAACGTAAACTCACAACGCTGTGCCGTGGACAGAGCGCTATGACATCACAGGATACAGTGTTCAGTTTTATCTTTCTCCGCGCATTCATAATTATGTGTGTATTGTTGTGAAACACACTTGACAAAACATTGTGACAGCCTAGTTAGTCACACACACACACACACACACACACACACACACACACACACACACACACACACACACACACACACACACACACACACACACACCACACACACACACACACACACACACACACACACACACACACACACACACACACACACACACACACACACACACACACACACACACACACACACACACACACACACACACACACACACACACACACACACACACACACACACACACACACACACACACACACACACACAGAGTCCTAAAGGCTCAACAATAAGCCTTTTTGTTTTCTTAATGTAACAGCAAATCGTATTTGTTTGTCCGTCGGCTTATATGCCTGTGATTTTTACCAAAAGGTTCCAGCATAATAAACCCTAATAAGCCACTACTTTAGCTTCTGAACTAAGTGCACTGTGTTACATCATGGTCAGCTATTCATGGAGTAATATGCTTTATTTCAAAGAAAGCAGAGACTCATTAGGTTTTAATAAATCCTCAGAGATCAATAATGTATCATTTTATCTACAAAATTCTACCTCTGTCTTTTGTGCCTCTTTGAATCCTAACAAAGGGGTTTAACAATGAAATGCTATCACAAACAATGGTTTCTGAATCTCTTCCAGACACTTCTCATTAGAGAAACAGCAGATATCGCCTCTGCCTTTAGCGCTGCCAATCGATCTTGGCTTACATTGGCCACAAAGTGGCAGCACTTGTTGCACCCCACATGCCTGAGGGGGATTTTTCAGTTAGTGGCTGATTAAAATCCTATCCTACAAATTGATTCAGCTGTGGACTTGCAAAATGGATACATTCTTAAAATAACTCCTATATTGTTGCTCCTAGTATGCTATCAGAAGCCTCCAGCATTTGATAGACACATCAATACTGTCCGTCTGGCTTCAACCCAACTCCAAATGTGATCATTAGTGTCATGTGGAGCTCATGTGGGGATACACAGCAACAATATCCACTGAGGCAATTCAAAGATTGCAACCCAATTTCCTCCAATGACACATCAGGGAAACGTTAACCAGATCATATACATGCACATTCATTTTATAACTAATTACTGCACCATCTTCAGGCTTTGCATTCATCAGCAGCAGGCACGTGCACACATAGACATCAAAGTGGGCTTGAGCCCCTGCCCTTTTTCTTCCTCCAGAGAAAGTACCCTTTCTTTTTTAAATAAATGAATATATATCTACTGCTGTTTGCGCAGTTTCCTTTTCCAAAAATATATTGATTGAATACAAAATAAAAATATCAGGTCGGGAGATTAGACTGTGAAGTTCCGATGCTCTCTCTACCCTCCCTCCCTCCCTCCACGTCTTGCGCACAGCGGTGCGGACATCGGCAGTCACTTCAGACCGACAGGTAGCAGCACCTCCCACCCATGGATGTATAATAAGAACTGGATACAGCGTCAGAGGCGGGATCTCGTTCTTTCCTATGAGAGCTGCTCATTGGTGCATGAGGACAAAATGGCCCAACTTTTGAGAGAGCGAAACGTCACAGATTACCCATCATGCCTGGCTTTCAGAGCAGAAGTACCCGTATGTGCGCTCATAGAGCATGCGCAGTTGAGTTACCCCTTAAGCCCCGCCCCCCCGAGCTCCCACTCTCAGATGCGCGTTCATAATGCCGAGGAAAATAACTCTCAGAATAACGTTATTAACACATTTTACTTGAGGACCTAATGTAATAAGGGCTGTACAAATGTTCATACTGGGTAGTTTATTTGGTTAAATATTATCCAACAATTTACAGACCACTCTTTCCCAATGTTAGTCAACACACCGGGGCCCAGATCCGGCCAGGGGGCCATGCAAAAAAAATAAAAAATGTATTTATACCTTTTTTCTGGGGGGGCCCCAATGGCATTGACCGGTTCACCTAGTCTTTAAAGTAACCAAGCAACCTACATTAATTTGTCTGTCCAATGACCGTGCTCCCTTTCATGTCATGTGATACCTTGCCTGACGAGCGAACCGTTTAATCAACCTCAAAAGTTATAGGTACTGTAGCTAGCAGCAGCAAGTTTGGCAGCATTATAAAAAATGTAATAGCTTGCATTTATAATGTACAGCAAACCAAAACAGAAGAGCGGCGCTCAAAAGAGAAAGGCCAAGAGAGAACAAGGAGATGTAACGGCTAAACTGATGAAATTAGACAGTTTTTTTTGTCATAGATCGTCCTCGAAATCTCGATTAATTCTGTAAAGTGATTGTGTGATTTGTTTGTTGTGCTGTGGTCTGAGGCCAGGGCAGCCTGTTGTTGATAGCCTATATGTGGCGCTTATGAGTGGTTGTGTGTGTCCGTGCGTGTGTGAGCGCATCAGTGTGCGCTTATGTTTGGGGCGATGGGAGGGGGGGGCCCCAAAGCAATATTTGCACCGGGTCCAATCACAACCTTGTTACGCCACTGGGGAGACACTAAAGGTGAATACAGTCAAATGTTTATCTAATAATAACGTCATCACAATCGTCACATTGATATGCAAATTAGGCCTTAACTAGGCCTAATTAAAATGCGCTAATTTGCATGCAGTTACCAAGGCATAGCAGGTGAAAAGGATAAAACAACAAACAAACATAAAACAACCTGAGAGAACTAGCAGGAAGGCCTAAATGGAAATGAGCTCTCCAGTATTCCCATGGTGTTTGATAAGGGCAGTTTGCCCCTCTTTGCCCCTCTGCTGCTTAGCACATACAGTGAATTTTGATGATGTTACTTATTTACATGCTAAACACTGACTCTTGGACAACTTTCAGTTATTTGCCAATTAGCACATCAAATAATGATTTACAGCAAATGATTTCCCCTAAATATGGAAATATTGTAACTGCCACACCTATGGAAACCATCCAATGATAGAACATATCTACATATTCCAATATTTTTACAGTGTACAGTATTTATTCTACTGTACATGATTTAATTGTGCATTTTTCTCATCCCTGCAACTTACTTGCAGCTTTATGTCATTCACACTATTTATGTCTCTTTTTATGTTGAGTATATGTTGAAAGAGCCTGAGATTGAAATTGCCAAAAGGATGCTATAGCTATAGCCCATGATAAATAAAACCTTTGAATGCTTTTGATAACTTATTGTCCTGTACGTAAGCAGAGGGCGCCCTCTGGTGGCTTAATGTTGTACATGATAGCCAACTAAATGGTAAACACAAACACAACATGGCTCAGTCTGTGTGTACATGTGCACACTCACCAAGTTGTAGTGAAGTCTCAGTGTGGTAATATCCATCTTTTTGCTTCTTTTTCAACATGGAACAAAGATCCACCCGCTCGACTGTCTGGTCCCCGAAAAACCTGCAGCGAGACGGACAAAGTGACAGTGAGAAAGTGAGAGGCAGAAGACTATTGATGCCTCCAGCAGAAAGCAAAGACCGACGTCAGTCAGTGCAGCTACTTGTCAGCAATGATCACTCAAATCAAAGGAAACAACTAAATGAAGCTCCATGACTTTATACATTTGGATTGCGTTACATTTTTTCCCCTAAAAACCACAAAATTGGAGACAAAACAGCAGACAACATACAGCATAATGTGCTGCAGGTCAATTAAAAAGAGAATGAAAGAGTCATAAACTAGTTTTAAATATCAGGGAGTCAGTAAATGTCCCACTCTATATATTGCAATATACATACGTTATCGATTGTAGTCCAATGCACATGTTTACCTTAACTTCTTAAAAACACAAAAAAAATCTTTATTTGATTGTTTTGGAAATATTTTTATTGCATACATACTTAAAATGGTTCTGTTTTTTATAAATATTTTGTTCTGTTTTTTTATTAATCTTTTTTTTTTACTCTCAAATGAAGCAACCCTATTTCACCAGAGAAAAACAAATGATTGTGATTCTGTGTCAAAAAGTTGATTGAAATGAGTAAGAAGTGGATTAATGAAATCGATGCAGAAGTTTTCTCCTGTATATTATATCACTTTTTATTATATATTTTATACGTGTCATATTCAATTTTACCTTTGTTTTTATTTGTTTTCTCTTGGTTTTGTAATGAAATGTTTTGTATGTATTTATTGTAATTGTATAATGTGTTACTGTTGCACTATGCTTTAATGCTTTTTAAGTTTTTTGTAAAGCATTTTGAATTGCCTTCTGTTGAAATGTGCTATTTAAAAATGATTAATTAAACCAATGATCTGTTATCATTGGGAATCCAGACTGGAGCAATGGAATAAAACAGTGCTAGAAATAAAAAAGTTATCTGAATAAAACAGCACGTACTTGTTTGTATAGTTTGAGTAGAGAGCTGGGTCCACACGTTTCATACCCTGAGAGACAGAAAGAAAAGTTATCACACTTTTAGGATATTCTCACACAGACACACAGTATTATAGACACTCACACACTGACACGGGAAGACAAGGATGCCGCCCAGCAGACGCCAGTCAGGATATGATGTCATCAGGTGTCAAAGGAAGAAAAAGATGGATGCTGTCATTCCTGTCTCTCCTCCTGACCAGTACTCATCTTTCTGTGCTCTTCCACCTCAGCTTTATTTATATCCTACTCCATTTCCTCAATAGCTCCATCACTTTAAACTGTTCTTTAACTCCTGAGTTTTCTTCCACTAATACAGCCTAATATAATGGTTCATAAACTATTGAATTATTTAGTTGATTTGTATTACAACATTCAGTTGCTTGGCTGGACATTTCCCAGCCACTGAGCTACTGTTCTGAATCAGTTGTGAAAAGAGAGCTCGTTACTTTGGACTGCGTATAAAAGCATGATTGGAGTAAATCATTCCATGCGAATATACTGCATGTTGTTATTATCCATTAAAACAAAAACCATGCTGTGACAATGCAAATAAGTTTGGATATGTGTATACTATTTGTTATGTAAATAAAGACATTGTTATGGAAACAAATATTTAATTTGTGTTGTGACATAATCACCAGTTTAGTGATGCTTTTGACATCACAATGTGGAGCTTCCCTTACACTAAAAAGGTGAGGTCTGAGTACTTATTAAGTAAATATAACAGTTACAAAATATATATATATGTGTGCATTTGAATCCTTTTTTTTATATTATCTAAATTAGCATATCAATTATTAAAAAATAGTTATGGCCCAGATTATGAGTCCAAGTGGACAGATGTACCAAATATGAGACACATGGGAAACTCACTCAATGTATTCCTGAGATATCATGTTCAAGAGAAAGTTGATGGGGAGGCATTTAAGTCAGTCCATTATTACCAGTAAAAGGCAAGTTGGACTCATAATCATGTCAAGATAGCCTTGTATAGTATGCTAAGATATTGAGCATCTCTCCACACTATATAAATGTGTGTACCTGGGATCGTAGTTTCGGTGCTCGGGACAGCTTCATCATGGTGAGGTGGGGTTCAAACCCGCGATTGCCTTCTTGCAGAAGACCCTGCTCTTCAAAACGGCTTTGCAACAACTCTGCAACACATGACACCAAACGTGTTATAAGCAGGAGGAAGAGGAAGGCTTTCACTTGACATAATTCAATATGTAGCAGTAAACGGCAGAGACGTAACAGAGGTCATGAGATGGATCGGAGCCCGATCATGAGCAAGATGTACGTCATCCACCTCGATCCCTCTCAAATCCCCTTCATGGATTCTTGTAAAAGCCAGAATTGGAGGGCACGGAAACAGATGGCAGTCAGAAGATGGGCAAAGAAGCGTTTTACTTTCATATCCTTTGACCAAACAGATACAAAACAAGGACACAAACTAGCAGTAAATAACCTGCAAGTACAGACACACACACTGACACCGACTGATGAGGTTTACAGGGAAACCAGGGGGGTATTTTTAGAAGAGGAGCTCCACAGGGAGAGAAAGGTTAGTATATAATCGATGATGGGGTGGAGGGAGCAGACGAGAGGACAGGAGAGTCTGACTTCCTGCCTTATCCTTATTTAGCTTTTCCAATACAAACATATGGACTCGCTGATGTCATTTTCTGGTGTCGCTGTGTCATTTTTCACGTCAGAAATATAAATAAAAACTCAAAAGGGAGGAATCGGAGGGAAATACTCCTGTGGAAGAAGTCAATGTGTTTCATCAAACAACAGCATGGCTTATTTCTACACTTCATCATAGTCATTCATAGTTCATAGTTCATTCATTCAGTCATAGTAATCATTCAACTGGAAGTCTGGAACTACATTTGATGTCAAACATAAAGAGAATGGCATCATAGTGGAGCACTTGATTCAACAAATTCACCTAAATTGAAATAGTTGTCTTTATTACACCTTATATAAAAAGCAAACAACAAATGTCAACAAACACGGTTGAGGAAATACTGAGGTAAATAAAGCTAATATATTTTTATTTATTTTCGCAAATAATAGAGCCTTTTTAGGATGTATAATCTCGAAGAAATGTTTCAATTTATACCTGGGAGAAAAAAAAACGGTGGCTAAAAAAAGAAAACTAAAATGACTTATTCTGTAAGAGTGAAAAACAGAAAACGGGAAAAAAGGTATAAGGTTTTGACATGTGTATTTTGTAATTTCTAGTTTTACCTTCAATATTTGCCTGCATGTTTATTGATTGATATTAAGCTGTCTTGGCTCTTTACTTAATACAATGTACATTTCCCCTCTATGGGCCGAATAAAGGTATTCCTATTCTGATTCTGACATAAAGACATCGGCCGCAGATCAAGCGATTGACATAATGTTATTATAGTATAAAAGTGATAAGCCAATAGAAACTGCATTACTAGCTGTAAACCCTATCCCCCTCTTTGTTTTGGTAACATGTTTGACTTACTTTTGTTTGTATAAAAGTTTTGAACTCATGATAAAAATAATAAATAAATAAAAGCTTTGAAAAATAACGAATTCATAAAAATCTTGAACTACTTTGCAGCATTCCTTTTGAACGCTTTTATGATTGATAAAGAGTGTAGGCCTGTGGCTATCAGAGCATCATGCACTAAATATCCCGGCACTTTGTATCTTTGATTTGACGTTTGTTTATCTTATCTTTAATTGCACCTTTTACTTCGTATATTATATAATGAATTCCACATTTTTTTTGTCATCTTTTATTTTGTTTATTCTATCATGGAACTTAATGTCATGAAATCCAGTATTTCTGATTCTATAGCTAACACAGTTGTTGAATGAATACACAGGTGTTTGTGCTCCATTTTAAAGCTCAACTGCTGCCATCATTCATTTGAGGCTGTAAACGCCAGCACCCAAATGTCAACATGAAACGACCAACCGAGCAAAACTCTTCCTATTAATAATTGTCAACACACTTCACATGAGCTGCAGCAGGCGATCAATCACTCGAGGGTTACGCTTGGTTGAGTTGATTGGGTTAATTAGGGAGGGTCTGCCTGTATTTATGTCAGCTAAGAGGTTTGATGGAGTAGACCACAAGTTAAGGCCCTGACACACCAGGCCGATTTCGGCCGTTTTCGTTAGTCGGAAGACGAAGCGTGTCCTGTCGCCCAAACTCAATTTGGTGTGTCCCGCATCGTCGGCCGTGACACGCCTTATTTGGACTGCCTGACCAAGCAATCACTCTGATTGGCTGTTCAGCTAGCGAATCAGTGCATGAGAAGCGAAACGGAAGTGAGGGACGTAAACAAACGATTTAAGAAGGCACACACAGACTGTTATTCATTTTCATCTCATCATGGCGATCTGGAATGACGGAAACGAAGACCTGCTCATCACCTTGATCCAGGAGAGGCCAGCTCTGTACGACATCACAGAGAAAAGGTACGCGAACCGAGTAGTGAAAACCGGACTCGCAACAGCCGGCGCCGGCGTCGGCGAGTCCTCTGGTGACTGCTTGGTGTGTCAGGGCCTTTAAACATTTTGACGCTGCATGTTTACCTCCAAGCAAAAAGAAACCCACCTACCTTTCTCTGGTCACTTGGCATTAAAAGCTCATCACTACTTCCTCGTCAAGACACAAATGTTTCATAAAATTCCAATCAGGTGACTTTTCAAGATGAATTGAACCCTGATAGCCGGGTTAATTGCGTTCAACCATCTCTCCTATCTCTTTAAAAGATTAATTTACTTCTTTTCCGATTCATATCAAGCCCCGCCATGAAATGCCTTTAGGGATTTGACTCGCTTGATCGTCACTAATATGCCAAATGTAATATTTGCTCTGATCTGAGCAGTTAATATTAAAATAAATGTGTGTGCAAGTGTAGTCGTGTGTGTGTGTGTGTGTATGTGTGTGTGTGTGTGTGTGTGTGTGTGTCGCATGAGCAATAGAGTGAGAATCCTCTTAGAAATGTTGGCTTAGTGTTGTTGCCAAAGGCACAACACAAAAACACACATGCAAGTGCTTCCACACACACACACCCACTGGTACAGATGCAAAATGACAAATCTGAGAAGATAGATGAAGACTTATCACACGCACAGCTGTACACACTTGCGTGAAAGCATTATCCAGATACACACAGAAAATTACCCAAAAAACATTTTATTTGACCAAATCCACTGGAATGTTATTTACTATTTTGACATACTGGTATTTTAAATATTGTACTACTTTGACAGCTTTAGTTACTTTAACCATGAACATGCTTATATGATATGATGCAGTACTATAATACTTATCTACCAAGTATTATATTAAGTGTCTATAAATGGCTCCACAATTATGAACTACGACAATTAAATACTCTTGCGTGTAAAGGTGAGTGATATTAGCAGAATTAAATAATATTGTACGATAATCACAATATAACACTTTAATAAGAGTTTGTACCTTTACTTTTGATACTTTAGTTTACTTTAAGACAATATTATTTATACTTTTACTTAAGTAAAGAATCTGCATATCTTTTCCAGGTTTTTTTTTTCAATATGCTTTTGCTGTGTTTTTATTGTAATCAACCTAAACGATATTTGAACACATTAAGAGTAGTGCAGGGCATAAATGCAGGTCAAAGAATGCTCCTGTGCCTCAGGTCAATCCACAATATATTGAATGCGAGAGTGTGAGGGTTAGCCTTTATAGATTACACCATATGATGTCCTAAAGATGTCTCATCTGTGACCACAGCAGAAAGCATCCGCCCCATTTGAGTGTCATTAGGAAAGACAACAAATCTTCAGAGCTCCTCAGTTGACCGTAAAGAGAAAGTACGGTATCACATTAACATCTTCTAAAGAAATGTATCCATTAATACAGCACAAAGAAACACAACACAAATGGGATTCAACAGACGGACAGACGCATTCAAAAGAGCGAAAAGTGTCACCAACCTGCCAGACTGTCCAGTGTGTGTCTGTGTTGTCCGGGGGCCAGCCCAACAAACACCACCTCCTTCCTGAAATGACCGATCCCCGAGAAGGGCAGCACCAGATCCCGCCCACCCAGCAGCTCGGCCAATGACGGCTCGGCCTCAGCCAGGACGGTTGCGGCCCTGTAAGAAAATATAAACACATGAATGAACACCGCACACACACAAACACTAACACACACACACATGCTGACACACACCGGTTCACAACTTAATCTCCTCTCTGACTCCCGCTCATATTACATAACGAGAGAATCCAGTGATTACTAATGACACAATCTTCTACTTAAGATTAAGCATCAGTATCATCACACAAGCTGCATTGAGCTGAAAACATGAACATATCAAATGAATGAGAAATCAAGAATATAAAATGCACGTTTTTGTGTTGAATGTTGGAAATGATTTTAGATATTTCTAAAAGTGTACTTAAAATATAATACAAATTGGTAGTAGTCTTCTTCATTGACGACACTAGATGGTTAGCAATGTCTCCTGTGTTGTTGTCGATTTACTATTAAAAAGTGTGACCATTTACGTGACACATTTATGGAATAGGATGAAATGTACATCATATTGAGGAGGTTTAAGGGAGACAATTTTCTCTGGTTATTAACTGGAATAAAAGCCTCAGATTACTTTCTGGCCTCAGGGACCGTCCTCCTTCATCAGTGCTTTTCTCATTATCGGAATCTAACCCTTAAAAATGTAAAGCACGATCAAGCAGTTTCCCTGGAAGTGCTGAGAGGAAGAGATAAAGACAAAAGCAGCGTTATATGCTGGTTATTATTCACTGCAGGACTCTCCATCCGACCACAACAAACACGCGGCCTTGTTTGTCTCTCTGATGTGGTAACAATGCACAGCATCACAGACTGAATGATAATATATGGTTGCAAGCATTAAACTGATTTGAGTGTCCGATTGAAGCTGTATTATTGGTTATATCATGGCAGGGCAATAGGAAAAGGCAGAATCCAGGACAAAAGAGGGATTTTTATTCAACAATCAGTCAATGAAGAAAAATGAAATCTGCGCGGGATGTATGTGCACGTCATAAAGCTGATCAATTCAACTGAGAGCTCTTCATGATCCCTACTTTCAAAATTGTCAGAGGTAATGTGTTGTATCTTACACAACAGTCTAGTGCAGTGCTTCTCAAACGTTTTCATACCAAGGACCACTTAACCAATAAAAACAACACTTGCGGACCACCTAACTCCCCAAATATCCAAAACAGGCCTGCTTAACACTCCCACAGTATATAACAAATTACAGCCTAATAATGACAGCTTAACCTTCTCTGTATCGCCTCGTTCACACATGAAATCAACAATACAACTACAAATACAGATTATATAAGCATTTCGTTCAAATGCGATTTAAAATGCTCAGGTTTTACACCTCTTGTGAAATGTAGACTACATTTATTACGGAGTTTATGTCCAACAGACTCACAGATCGTTGGCTACTGAAAGATATGCAAAATACACCGCATGTAGCACGACACAAACCTCCGCTGTGGATTTTCAAAACAAAATACAGTAAAACTATGGTCGCAGGCCAAGTTTAACTCTCTGAGGTCTAAGCCCTTTTTCACATGTTGGGCTCGCGTGGGCTTTTAAAAAAAATAAAAAATGCTATTAAAACATGAACCTTGGTGACCATCGGGCTGGCCTGCATGGTCTGCCTACAAAACTAAAATAAAAAACCTTTATGCAGCCCCAACAACAGCCTCTGATCATCAACAGACTTCATGCAATGCTTCATCGGATGCATATATTAGATAATAATCGCTATCTAACTCCTAACACATCTAAATCTACTTTCAGCATGGATACATGTTCATAAAAGACATCCATTGTTTGTTCTATATGCTTCTTGAAATCTAAAAAAAACCCACAGTTTTTCTAGAACAGATTACAAATCGCCTGAAAATGGTACAAACAAGTGGCAACATGTGAGACGAAGGTGTTGCGCTGGGCATGCAATCGAAACTTAAGCTCGTTCCATTGCGGAGATATTCCCGCGAGAGTGCGGAAAACTTAAATAATAAATGTATTTCAAATGTGAAATTTTACCAATATACTCACGGACCACTAGGGGGCGTTCACGGACCATCTGCGGTCTGCAGACCACACTTTGAGAAGCACTGGTCTAGTGTACACTGTGTAAAAAAACTATAAATATATAATATATATATATATATACATATCAATACAAGTATTAAATAATTACACACTTATTCTAATGTATTTATTTAAAACATATAACAGTGACATATGTGATGTGTCATTTAATATGGGATTTATTTATAAATGGTGGAAATTAAGCAATACATTACAGAATTATTAGAGCATTGAATTAAACATTATATATTTGTTTTTTTATATATTTTTACACATATTTCATTTCAGTCCTTTAAACCCTCCATACACATGGTTACTGTCATTTCTAAAACCTGTGCTACATTTCTGCTTTGAAAAAGTTGAATGGTTGGAATTGATTGACTGTTTGATAGCTTTTTACAACAAAAATGTTAAACATTTCCCAAAATGTTTAGTTCGACATTTAGTGGTTTGTAAGTGTGTATACATAATATGAAGCCATTATGTGCGTTACAGAGTGTTAGTATGTCTGTGTGTGCATCCACTCACAGGTCTACTTGCTCCTGACTGGCGAGATGAGTGACTAATAGCGTGATGTGGAGAGTTGGGACAGGGATCATGGTTCTGGCCAATCGGGGCTCCTGCTGAAGTACCGCCTCTTGGACCTGGGTTACGGCTGAGCTGATCTGTCATTGGATAGATTTAAGTTCAGTCAGCAGCAGCCGGCATATGCTGTCACATTCAGGGTCTGTTTGTTACCTATTCTAGTCCTATATGTTCTTTACCTCCACTCCTCTGGATGTATGGAGGAAGACTGAAAGAGAGGCCACTTCTGCAGTTCAACACCACAGATGAGGCGTCAATAAAAGATAACCATGAGGTAAGTCTAAGTTCATTCAGAGGTTTTTTTTTGTCAATAAGCATTAAGATTTCAGTGTCATCATCTGTCAGGTAATTTCATCTTGAACGTTTTTTCCGTTACAGATTTTCTGCAGTTACCGATTTGGCTACACTGACCATGACCAAGTGTCAAACACAAATTAATCAACAGTATTTTAGGAGAAGAGATTAAAGACTTAAAGGAGAACTTTCCTTAAATATCCCAGTTGCTTATGTTTGTTATACATTTCCAATTTACTACTTATTTATTTTCACTTTTTTTCCATTTGCTGCCTTCTGTCCAACGCATACAATAGTTTTGAATGCTTAATACATTTATTTAGCAACACATTTGCAATTACTTAAGTAGTTCAAAAAATAATGTACTAACTTTAAAGTGCTTAAGTTACTGATAGTCCCTCACATTGCATAATATTATAGGTTGTATATGCTTTGTGAAAAATATGTTATGTTGATGGAAGAGTACATTGTTTTTGGAAGGTCTTCTGATCAGCTGGGTGAATTGCAAACAAACATGAATGTTGGGAAAAGGATGATAAAACAAAAAGTGGATAATCAATAAGTTGATAAGTAAGGCGGCAAACATTTTTAATAAATAAAACCTGTAATTAAAAAACATAATTGGCTACAATACACACAAACTTAAGCATGATCCTTAAAGTACACACGCAAGAGAATAGAACCTCAATACCTCACCTGTGTGTTAGTGATGGGGATGGAGATAAAAAAGTTGGGCCGCACGCTTTCTTTCTTTTTTTTCTTCTTATCTGCGTCCTCTTCGCTGTCAACTCGCACTCCAATGTCTCCTCTCTTCCTCTTCCTCTTCTTCTGAGTTGAAGCTGGGCCGGAGACTAGAGAGAAAGGGCAAGCATACTATTAGAAAAAACTCTAAGTTGTATAAGTATAAACATCACATCAAGAATATACACACATCCAAGCTCTTTCCATGTGGTGGGGCTGGTCAGAGAAAACGGAAGCTCTGACATATAATTGTCCGAGGTTTCAGCTGACTTGAGGTGTCTGTTTATTAATTTCCTCTTCTCCCTCCTCTTCTTCCTTTTCGTCTTCTTCTCATTTGGTCCTGCTGGATCTGGAGCTGCCATAGAAAAGAAATAAATCACAATACAACAACAGTTCATATGAATTAGGCTCACCAAAAAACAACAACTATACAGAGTGCTTTTCTGTTTGTAAAATGTTTGACTATAAGAAAAAGCAATATATTATAACTTTAATTGGCTAAAACATGAAAATAACATGTCACGACCGCTAGAGGAACAAATGTATTTTTAAATCAGAAACAAGCAAAGCAATACATTGTTTTAAATATAATGTTTGATATTTTTTGTAGCTACATATTAGTACGTTTTAGACGTTTCAACAGTAGAGGTACGCATAGTCCACGCTATTGATTGTGCTTCACTTGGTCATGCAAGTGTTTCAAATGTTGTACAAGGTGGAAAAAGCCACTTAAATGAAGTGAAGCCAGCATGCTGATATTCAAACAGAGTAAGATAGTGTAGCAGATTCTTAAGTGACACCCCTTTGTGAGGATGAGTTGTATTAAGGTATAATAGATCAATTCTAAAAAGAGCAACATTAAACAACTGCAATATGTCACATCTGGCCAGCTTGAGATGCTGCATAGAACACTAAAAGATATTTTTTTAACTTTAACTTCACCCATGAGCAGCCATGAAACAGATGTGTCTATCAAATTGTAGAGCCCCATAATACAAAAGTGTTCAGGTTCAGGTTCAGGTTATTTATTTGTACCCGTAGGTAGATTCTGTTTGCAGAGAAAAAGACAAGGGTTCCATCAGGACACTAAAAACAAACACAAACAACAGACACATCTCTAATAAAGGACTAGTAAAAGTACAAGTATACCCTGCTCAACCAAATCTCAAAATATTGAAAAAACATTTTAAGAAGGAAAACACTAGTACAAACATGGACATTCAAAATTCACAATTAAATAAAAAAAAAAAAAATTGATTTGTGATATCTGGCTGTGTAAATACAATTGACTTGACATGATAAAGAAGCCTATTTTGTAAAGTTTTAATACATGATGTCAAAGCTTGTCAAGTGAAATACACCATGTGACAGGTGACACAAGGTGCTTCAACGAGTTATAACGTTTGGAAAGTTTTGCAATTAAACTATTGTGTAGGCACATTGGTGGGGAGGAACATCATTGAGGATCATGGGAATGTACACTAAAAAACACATCATAAGTATGGCAGCATTTTTTTATTATACAAATGTATAAGTCATAAAAGTAAGAATAAACTATTGATCATAGCATTTTGTCACATGTCCACTCATATAAAGCCTTAAGAGTGGTCACTTGGCCTTAATTACAGCAATAAAGTACATTAATTGTAATCACATCAATAATATTTGAACCTGGACAATGAATGCATTAATTATTTGACTGTACATATTGCACAATAACACCAACATTTAATGCATCACACCTAGACGAGACGTATCAAAGATATGATAATACCATGCATGCAGACTTTTAGGATTTGTATAGCTCAAATATGAGATTGAAAGTATTCAAATCAGCTTCAAGCTTAAATGGATGCTTTAAGTTTTGCAAGCCACCAGATGTCAAAGTACTGTCAAATCTGTTTTCACCATTAACTGAAAGAAAACCAAATAATCATAAGGCTTCATCCGTTTGATACAATGTGAAGTTGAGTCTTTTTGAGCTTGTCAAGCTCAACAGTTGCTTACTTGCTTACATTTTGTCAAACCCAGTCAGCACGTCAGGTATTCTCACCTGACACTGTGGAGGTTCCCGGGCAAAGCTCTTCCTCCACATCATCATCATCTGGGGCAATAACAGTGGTGTCTTTGCCATAGGATATACTGGCTGGCTGCATATTACACACTGTTAACTGATAAAGGCAGGTATGAGCCTAAAACAGAAAGGAATCAAATAAATAGATCAAAACCATCATCATATTTAGCTTTTATGCATCTGAAGTGAGGACTTTGAGTTATTTTTCTCAGGACTTCCATTTCATTACCTTTAACCGGTGTGTGGATGGCTTCAATGGGTTGACGGTACGATAGTGGCTGTGAGAGATGGTATCTAGTCTGTGAGATGATGATGGTTTATTGACAGTAAAACCTCTATGTAAACAAACTATTTTTGAACACGTGGATCTGCAGGGGCTCAACAGAAAGCGACCGAGGAGCATGACACATACGCGAGACAAACTTCTGCTTACGTTACTGGCATTTACAGTTGGATAGTTGAAGACACGTCAAAGCTAACTAATAGCTAACCTAGCTGCTAAAACAGATAATATTAACCTTAAACTGTCCTCGGAAAAGTGAAGGACGTGCAGCCTGTAGAGACAGACTTGTCCTCCCTGTAGCTAACACCTGCTGAAATGAATCAAGCTGCCATGCTGCAGAACACCTTTGAGCTAACTGTTAGCTAACTGTTGTGCAGGTAATTGTTTAAACTAATATAACTTCTTGATAAATTGTCATGGTGGTGATGCTGCAGAAAACTCGTTGGTGGCCGTTTTTGTCAGAAAAAAAGTCAAAAAATGTAATGGGAAAAAAACATTTATCTTCATAGCACGCGCAAACAGAAAGCAGCTTATATTTGTAAACAATGTTGCACTTCCGGCCTGGCTTTTCAGAGCAAAATAGATTCTCTTTTTCCAGAATAAAAGCATGGGGAATTCGACATGTTAAAAATATTTTCCTTTAATTAAAGATTAACTTAAATAATGTAATATAGTTGAGATAATTTATTATAACAACTGTAACCTGCTAGTCTGGACATATAATATACTAATCATTATATGTAATGACGGAACTGTTGATTGTTTAACATTTTTCTTTTTTATAATCAGCAGAGTTTATTAAATTGCAGTGAATTTTGATCAATAATAATCTTAAATGTTAAAACATCTAAAAATACATGTTCCAAGTTCACGACAGCTAGAGAAATATTTACTATATAAAAAAAAGACTACAGACAATATGATTACACTCGTAATACATTTGTATCTGATTTAATAAGTATTTTTAGAATCAGGTACAGCAACAATTCACAATAATGTATTTAGCCATAATATATCCATTTTATTTTAATGTTTGCAGTAATTGTAGTATTTGGCCTAGATAGATATTCAAAGGTCATCCTTTTGCCCCCTAAGGAATTTTGTGGCACTCTTTAATCAAATGTAAATTCACATCTAATTTATAAACAGAAACAACAATATAAACTGGACACTGGAAATTTGATTACGAGAAAAGCATTTTCTGAAAAGATAAGTCTGATGTGCAGCTCACAATACAACAAAAATGTAAACTGCCAAAACACAAGTTAGATGAAGAAGGTATGCAATGTAATGTTTTAAATGATTACGGACAGCATTAGAACACAAATCAGTAGCTACATTTTTTACAAATGAGGATAAAATAATTTTTCCACAATCGGTAGGAAAGTAAAATCCAACATGTCTCGTTCAAATTTTGACTGTTTGACTTGTGTTGGTTGTGGTTCATTACATTGTGTTGCTTTAGTTAAACAAATCTAGTATATAATAGACGACTGCTACCGCCATTTCTGGTATTGCTGCCAGTGTTCCAGTATTTCCAGCAGCCACAACCAGGGCATTTGAAATGGTGCACTCCTGTATTTTGTTTTTTATATTGCAAACAGCAGCTGTATTTTCTTCACAGTGAAGTAATCCATGTTTCGTCTCGTGGAAGAAAACGTTGACTTGCAGCTGAACGTTAGCGTCGCCACGCCCTGGTTCCACCTTTGGAATGAACTTGGCCTCATATGCGTGGTGCATCAAAACCAGAATAACAGGTTTATCACCTGAAGACACAAAAAGAGAGGAGGACAAATTACATAATCAAGGAGGAAGCTCTAATGTAAGGTTTGGTGTGAAAAGCAATTCTAAGAGACGATACATGATTATCAAAACATGTAGCTTTTTTGTTTAATTATAAATACCAATATAGTATATTCCTTAATAAATACATAATTATTTTGGTAACCTAACTTTGCTTATACAAGTAAGAGTTAACCTATATGTTGATACAAATGTATAAGCCATTTCCATTCAATATGAACAGGCTGAAACAAAAGTTCCCTTACCTTTAACATCTCTCAGGGCTGACTCAACATCTGGTCCCATGCGAGAAACGATGGGGCAGAAGACAATAGTGACGCCGTAGTCATCGCTGTTGCTTTGAACAAGATCAAACTGATCCTGAACTTCCTTCTTCACTTTCTCCATCAGCTGATCATGTGCACCAAAGGTTGTCCCGCCAACAACCATCTGGTACTTCAATTCACCTGTAGGGAGGAAAATGGATGTGACTATGAAACAGATTCATGTACTTACATTTCTTAAGAGAACATAACACATGAATAAAATAATAATATCAAATTGATTATTATACCAACATATCTTGAGAGATATGCTATTACCAAAAATCTGAAAAATGTAGTCTAAAGTCATGTGTTGTGTCAAATTTGAACTGCTGAGTTTTCAATTCACATGCACATCAGCTGGGAGGCTATGAACAACCACATCACAGTATATTCCTATTTCATTCTACCACAGTAGACCCAAAGAAAAATGAGTTTCCCAAAACATTTACATCCCAGTTGCACAGTTGTGGTTAAAAATTGATTAAGTTTCACAAATAGAAAATAATATCAGAATTGAAATTGGCTTTGATCTATCAGATTAAATGCAATTGACCTGTCAAATTGTTTTTGCGTTTCAATTTCCCAGTAATAGCGTTGAAGTTTCTTATGCACTAAGAGTACAATGAAATTGAAAGAAATAAATGTTATGCTGTTTGTCAGATTACTACACATCAATGAGGATGCTGCTATAAACATTAACATAAGACAATCTTATACATCAAGAAAGTAAGAGGAAGAGATTTAGATTTACTTTGAAAATCAACTGAAAAGTATTTTGAGTCAAAAGGGTTTCTCAAATGCTTCTACTTTTAATTACTACAACATATCATTAGTAAATGGAATGGAAACATTTGAAGCTGCGAAACTCCTTCCAGAAAATGTATCTTATCATCAAGGAACTTCATTATGTTGGTCCTCATGCCTTTCAGGATACAGAGGTTCTTAACCAATACCTCATTGTTGTTTCGAGCAGCTGGAGAGAGAGGTGTGTTGACATTTTTTTGTTATGTTACAAGGTTGTACCTACCTACTGTATGTCAAGTTCATCTATGAAGCATTTTACTTCCCTTAGGAGCTGTTCAACATGCATCAAAACCAAAGATATTACAGAATCATTTCGAAGGAGAACATTACTAAATTTTGATAGTTTCTGTCCTTGAAGACTATTTTTAAATGTCACATTGCAGCTTCTAATTAGGTATTAAGTAGGTTTCTTTATCATTTCAAAGATCCTCCTTCTCAGTTTGAATTTCTCTAGTCTAGGAAACAGCTCAAGCAGTTCTTCTCGTGACAATGACAGTGGTTTTGAAAGGGTGTAACTCTCCTATTGGAAGGTGGTTTGGTCTTTATTGATAAAGATTCATAGAAACATGTACGAAGATATCAAGTGGAAGAGTGTGAGATTCACCGTGTGCTCCTTCAGGACAGTTATCATCGCGGGGCTTCGTCACATTCGTGACTGATTCCCGGTTTGGCTGATTCTGGATGTTTGCCTCAAGAGAACAAATGTGATCATCAAGGAAACTCTGCATATCCTTCATGTGGGTCTTCATGTCCTTCAGGATAGAGAGGTTATCAACCAAGACTCCGTTGTCTGTTAGAGCATCTGGAGAGAAGGAATCGGGTTGTGCTTGTAAGGATTTGGATTGCAATATTAGTTACTTGTATTTCCTATCATTGTACACAAAACAAAATGGCAAGTGTGTGCCAATGTGAAAGTGAAAGTATTGTTAAAGGCTGTACATACCCTTGAAATCAGCTGAGATGTCTTTCATTTGTTTTAAAAGCTGAACAAGAGACTTCTAAAACATAAGAAAATATATTATTCAAAATAAAGAATGATTTAGTGATTCGTTTTAATCTTTGTCATCTTTAATAAAATGTAACAATTGTGTTCAGCTCACCTTTTTTTGTGTCATTTCAAAGCTGAGGTCCTTTTGTTCAGGTAACAGCTGATGACAACTTTCTGCTCCAGTCAGTGACCGGATGTCAGATTCGCTGCGTAAATCTGCCTCTGAAACAACACGGTTTGTTTTATCTATGCTTTTAAACTGAAACATAGTACTATAACTATGCTAATGGTTTATTTTCAATAGTCACCCTCTATAAAGATGGCCACTTACCTAAATTGTATAAATAAAATGGCCTTGCCTTGCCTTGCCTTGCAGAACAACATCCTGGTGTTCCTCCGTCATGACTTCACGGGAAACAAAACAGACAGGCAGATTCAACACATGGATTCCAATGTAAATACTAAAGTCATATCTTAGTTTTCTTGTGAAATATTTGGATACAAACTTACCTGAAGTGTTGACAAGCTCAACTCGAAAGACGAAGATTGTGAGAGGAAAACGAAAGTAATCTCTGATCTGATCGAAGCTTGATTTCAATTATTTGGACAATTATAAACAGATTTTAATAACGTTAGCCGTCAATCACTCAACTAAAACAATAGAATATTCTAGAAAGTATTTCCAATCTACCTTCGTAGTTCGTATACAATAACCTCCGTCAGCGCTGAGCCGAAAGTGAAAGTTAAAGATAAACGATGTTTAGAAGGAGGCTCAAACTGTGATTGGTCGCTGGAGCAGCGTGATTGACACATCTGAAGTCCCGCCCTCTGAAACCCATTGTTGACATTTATTACGCATTACTCTCTATGTCAGGGGTGTCCAAACAAACTATGGGGCCAATGGGCTAACTGCGGTAGGTTTTCAAATAAATTCAGTCAATCTTAGTTGATAAAAAAGCCCAATAACCTATTTACATAGTAAGCTAGAACAGTGGCAGCGCCAGATATTTTTCTTTTGGGGGTGCTGTGGGGTAGCTTGACGTTTCATAGAGGGTGCTCAAACATTGGGTTTCCCATTAATGTGCCGGGCGCTACAGTGGAATTTTCTACTGCAACACTCCCCACACGCACATACACACCTGCGACTGTTACAATGAAGGCTCGATAATCAGCTCACGGCATATAGGTGTAAGCAGGGGTAAAGTGCTATTTTTACAAGTGCGTGGGAAGATTTTTTTTTAAATATTAGAGTTATCAATCTGGTGCACTTTGAGAGAAAAATTAAGAGATCTATGGATACATCTCTCAACACGCATATAAAACAGAACTGCAAACAGATTTACTTTTTCTTTATGAATATTTTACAAATCACTCCCCTTTTAAACTGTATTCTTGTTTTACTGTCATAGCCTATAGTATTTCATACCTGTTTTTCATTTATGCTCTTATTTATTTATACCTATAATGATCATATAAACGTGTGCCTCGGAAATACTTATTTACATTAATCGTGACCAAACCGTTTGAGACCCACTGAGATAATTGGACTAAAGTTAACTATCTAAACACTGAGAGAGTCCTTTACTTCACCTGAGCTGAAGTTATCTGAGACTCTCGGTCTGACAGGAGAGAGTTCTCCCTCCACCTTGTTGTTGAAAAAGCTCCTTATATCCGTTAGCATAGCTATCTAGCAACAGATAGCCTATTAACCACAACGATCTCCGGTACCGGTGCGCGCTCTCGCTCGCGCACGCACACAAAATGGCTCGTGCCACACACACACACACAGAGCAGAGCTTGAATGAAACACAGAGACCCAGAAGTAGGCTACTTGTACTGTACTGTATCATATTATTTTCGAATCAGTCATTTTTCAAATTCTGAATTTCACACGTAAAAAAGAAAAAATACATACATTTATTGGGGGTGGGGGTGCTATGGCTATCCTATTTCCCCTTATTATAAGCAATCTGCTTCTGTTTTAAGAAATTAGTTGCCAACACTTTTTGTAACAAAATAAATGAAACCCTATGGAAATCTGTGAAGGCTGTTTGTTTTCTTAAAGCATATTCATGTACTGTATGAAGCATAATTTACCTACATTTATAACTCAACTTATTAGGTAATATACCTCACCTGAGGGGCCCAGCCCTTCCTACGTTTTTCTGTATGCGGCCCTGTATTATAATGTTCTGGCATCTATATCTATAGAGAGGACATGATTTTGTTTGCTATGTGGTGGCTATTGTGAGGATACCTTTAAAAATGTTGTGCGTTACAATTACTAGTTAACTGTAACATAAAAGTCATAGTAATATGTAAAGAAATCTGAGTATCACAATATAAAAGTAATGTAACCTGATTAGATACTTCATGTTACTTTTGGATACTTCAATTTTAAATGTAAAGCAAATAAATACAAGATAAAAGAAATATCGGTAAGATGTGTTTTAATTTAGTATAGTGTGTGACCTTAAAAAATAAGAAACCAAGAAATGTAGTATCAAAAAAGTGTCCTCTTATACTTTAGGCTATGGGCTTACAAATAGCATTACAAATGCTGTTTTGCTGGGGGGGCAACAGGGGCCAGTGCATGCAGGGAAAAAAACAACACTTGTCATCTCTGACCAGCGGCTCTTCCCTTTTTAATTCAAGTAACATTCAAGCCTAGACGTTGAGAGACTAAAAATTACAAAACTGCAGGATATTGTTGCTGTAATCTGAAAGAAGAGAAACCCTCAGCCTGGGATGCAGAGACCCGGCGGATGTACAGTAGAGATTCAACTGTTCAGTGCCTTATATTCAGTGTTGCAGCAAATAATAATAATTTAATTTAATTGTAACTTAAACAAGTACTGTAAATATAAAAAAGTACTACTGAAACAAAGAACTGTAACTTAAAGTTACTGTAATAAATACCTGTACAGAACAAATTCCAATTTAATATTTATTTTACACAATTACTTTAAACTGTCTTTGTCTTTTTTAACCCGCGTTTATCGTCTCATAAGAATAACTACCACTCCTTCCCCTGTAAAATTGGTCTAGAACCGCCACCGCTAATAATAACATAATAGTTTTGAGATATGGTGATTTGTGTTCACATTGCTGTCGATATGTCGTTCAACTCAACGTTTTACAGTAGCCTAATCTATTCACCTGGTTGGTTCAGCTAAACTCAGAGGTAGAGACACAAACAACATGTTAAGGTAAGTTTAGCTTTACATGATCCTCTTCAGAAGAAGACTGCACAGGCATAGTTCACCATCTCTACATGTTTGTTTGAGGCTAAAACAATGGTATGGTAATGGAAAGGTTTTAGTTTGAGACAAGTGAAATTGTAAAAGTGGAAGAAAAAAAAGCACTTGATGATCTCTGTATTTAAAACTTTAAATAGATCAGATTCTTTGAAATGTAAATATTAAAACCACAATTTAATAAGCTTTTTTTTTAAAGACAATAAAGGTGTTATCACTTTGTGTTGATTTAGCTCAATAAACCCCTAATGTATTCTCCTGGTTGACTTGTATATAGATATACTTGAATGACAAAAACGTTTTTTTATTAGTTGATGGCCTAACAACTGGAAGTTAAAGAAGCTGGCATTTCAATGGAGTCTTCCTTATATTCACAACATATCAGTATGTGTTTAACTCTAAGATGATAGTATCGGATTATCAGTTGTGAGCATGTATTAGGCTACATCAACAGAAATAAAACAAATCTCATTTCATGAACAAAAGCCTTAGAATCCAAGAATGTATTTGACATTTTTATTTCATGACTGCTCCTCTGCATGTGACTTACATTATTGGATGCTCAGTTTTGATGGCTGCATTTTACTTAGTGTCCACCAACCACGTGAATATCCATATAAAATATATCAAAGCTTAAATAAGCTTCGATAGTTTAAATAAAACGTATCTTTAAAACTGATTGCGATTCAATTTCCCTGCCATAACAATGAGGTTACATTTAAGATACAGGCCAAAGAATGTAAATTAATTAAATTAAGTTTTTTTTAAATTATCAGAGTGTATTATTCATTTGGCTCAACACTATTCTTGAACTATTGATGTCAAAAAGATACAGGTTCCAGCTTCATGATGGTATGTCATATAAACTATATCTAAAAAGGACTAAAAAGTGATTGCACCTGCTGTAACGGCAGTTTATAGAAAGTATTAAGTATATCGTCATCACACATAACATAAACTCTGGGAAACAAATCTTTAGAATTAATTGCAGCAAAAATTAACATTCATGCATTAAAACCAAATATACTGTGCAGCTCATTTCATTCTAATATTTGCAGCAATAATTACATTTCTGGCGTATGTCTGTATGTATTCGAAAGGTAATCTTTTGGCAAATGACTAAGCTTTGTTGCAGTCTTTAATCACTTCCTTTACATTCATGTCATAATACAGTAGAGAAACCACGGTAGCAACTGGAGAAATCCTACACAGAGATATAAATAATTGGACTACAAATTACTAGCCAACCTCTCTTCTCAAAAAGGAGAATACAATTAAGTTTTCAGATTATGGTAGAAGAGTAAAATCAAAACTGTCTGATGAATCACATTTTGACTGCTTGACTTGTGTTGTTAGTGATACATTACACTTTGTTGTTTTACTTGAGAGGAAAACATATCATCGTTGCTCGCACCAACACTGCCAAATCTAAAGTTAAATTGTTAAGATAATCTATAATACACGTGTTATTCATTTAGTTTACAGGAAAAAGGCCCATCTATAGGCAATCAGCTGAGGTCTTCACCAGCAGTTGGATACATTAGCAAGTGTGGTAGCTGCTAAATAAGGTCAGGTCATGATCACAAATTAAATGACAATTGGGAGAAGAAGCCCCCGCCCGTCTTGCTTTTGTCAGATTTTCCAGAATGTCCAGCAGCCACCTGGGCATTTGGAATGGGGATCTCTTTTAAATATTTTGTTATCTCGCAAACAACATCTCCATTTTCTCTACAGTCGAGCAGTCCACGTTTCGTCTCGTGGAAGAAAACGTTAACTTGCAGCTGAACGTTAGCTCCTTGTTGCACATTTGGAATGAACTTGGCCTCATATGCGTGGTGCATCAAAACCAGAATGACAGGTTTATCGCCTGAGGACACAAAAAGAGAGGAGGACAAATTAGATAATTAGGGAGGAAAATGGTAGATTAAAGCTCTAAATGTAAGGTTTGGTGGGGAAAGCAATCCTAAGAAATTATAATCAAAACATGTAGCTTATATGTTTAATTATAAATATCAATATATTGTATATTCCTTAATAAATACATCAACATTTTGATGTCCTGACTATGCTTACACAGGTAAGAAAGAACATATATGTGAATACAAATGGATAAGCCATTTCCATTAAGTATGAAGAGGTTGAAACAAATGTTCCCTTACCTTTAACATCTCTCAGGGCTGACTCAACATCTGGTCCGATGCGAGAAACGATGGGACAGAAGACAATAGTGACGTCGTAGTTGTCGCTGTTGCTTTGAACAAGATCCAACCTATCCTTAACTTCATTCTTCACTTTCTCCATCAGATGTAAATGGGCATCAAAGGTTGTCCCGGTAACAACCATATGGTACTTCAGTGTAACTGTAGGGAGGAAAATGGATGTAAATATCAAAGAAATTAATACACAATTATAAAACGGACAAGTCAAATCAAGCAATCTGATTGGTTCTTAGCCGTGATATAATGAGCGTATACCACGGGTAGAATTGTAGTTACTTTTCACAAGTCAGTATCCCTCCGCGTCTGAGAAAAAGCTACAACCGTTACAACTGTTAATTTACGACATGCAGAGCTAAGTGAGGAGCAGGTAGACCAACTGGAAAAGTACCACCATTCAAAAGCTTTCTGATGCGAGTCTTGAAAGCAGAGAAATTATGACCGTTAGTGGCCACAGGTGCGAAAGCTCTCTCCAGAGCTACTGGAAGCCGAATCTCGGGGACCGGACAAAGTGGATCAATATTCTCGCCACGCCAAGCAACAGCCTAGAACAACCTCAACCTATACAAGTAACCACGTAAGCCATTCTACTGATGCTGGACAGTTTTTCAGTGGGTGCACAATAAACGGCAACATATACTGTAAATGAATGTAAATAAATAGCCAAATAATCGATCAACGCTCTCTGTCTAATATGTTCGGTAGCTGTTAGTGTTGTTGCATAGCAACCACCTCGCACTATGTTTTGTGCAGAAGGCAACGAAGGGACTATTTTATTTTGAACATCATTATTTACTAATAAAAACTTTAAATTAGAGTGTGTATTTTTCTTTCATATGGCCACACTTGGTAACCGTTTTATAAAAGCAATAGCTCACTTCAGGCCGTGATATATGGTCGTTATATCACAGTTAACGGGCGTGGTTCGGCTTCGCGTCGGGCTGAACCACGCCCCTTAACTGTGATATAATGACCATATACCACGGCCTGTCGTGAGCTATTGCTTAAACATAACTTGAGAGAACCTACACAAAAATAAAATGATGTGTTTTGCTATGCAGTTTCCAAAGAAAATGTGAACATCTGAGTTTCTAACTATCCAAATATGACTCACCTTTCCATCTATTCGCAACCTTGGGGCGCTCTTCTGATGAGAAAAACAGCAACATGAATTAGTCAGGTTCATTCACACTACCATTCGAAAGTTTGTGATCTCCTTCCATTAAAGCTTGATAAGACAAATGGCTGAGAGGACTATTTTATATTACTTTAAGGTTGGAGAGAGTATGCTTTACACACAGATCTTTTTTTATTATTAAGTGTTTCCAAAAAAGTCATGGTTCCATGAATAACTAACACTGTTTCTCCCAACAGAAATAGATGCTTAGTCTTACAGGTTTACACTCCCTGTAAGACTAAGCATCCCTCCTTCACTGATGATGATGATCATCAGTGAAGATGAACTGAAAATGCTATGGACAAACAAATCACAGTTTATCCCTATTTCATTTGACCACAGTAGACCCAAAGAGGAACAATTTCCCAAAACCTCCGGTTGTGGCTAAAAATGACTTGACTGTCACATACGCTCTTCTGAACTGATAAACAATTTAAAATCGAAGGGTCTTTGGAGGGAAATGTGGTTACAAACAGTTATCTCCCTTGTCAGGCAAACTCTGAGACCATCAGCTTTGTAGAAGATGTACTCTTTTAATTGTTTTTCTTTTGCTATTTCAATATAAATAATACATTTGTGACTGAATTATAATTTTTGGGATTTTTCAATAAAACAAATGATTCCAAACGTTCTACCAGTCATGTAGAATTTGAAAAAACTCTGCTGTTGTAAACATGAACAAACATTGACATGTGAACATTCTTGAAGAAGAAAAATAAATAGATTTACTTTTCAGTGGTGGTTGTTGATCAGAAATGTCCATCCTATCAACGAAGGAACCTGTTTTTGGAAAGCATAAATATACTTACTGACTACATATCTTCTAGCGTTTGATTTCAACATCAACTCCAAAAAGGACATTCATTTTGGGTTATAAGCTCAAAGTGTTCTACTTAGACCAACCATGGAGAACCGGTATGACTGGAAGCGAAAAGGAAAATGTCAAGGAAATAGCATAATTCAATTACTGACAACAAAATAAACCATCTAGATTTGATTAACTGAGCACATATGTTTGCTAAGGTGGACAGATGTTTACCCTTTACCCAGTTGGCCAAAGTCTGGGATGACATACTCTGAACTCAAAGTTCAGTGACAAGCATTTCCAGGGCTTTTCGCCTACCAAAATAGCAAGTATGTGCCAAATGTGAAAGTGAAAGGGATATTAAAAGGCTGTACATACCCCTGGAAGGATTGCCGTTATTCACCTTTGTGGGGGGGGAGCTGTTTAACGGGCTTCTGAAAAAAAAAAAGTACATTACAGAAATATTGAATGACTTAATTAAGGCCTAGTTTCTATGTAGCCTCTTTTAAATCTCACATTTTAGTTTGAAAGCTCACCTGTTTGTGTATCATTTCAAAGATCTCCCTTCTCAGTTTGAACTTCTTTGGTCCAGGAAACAGCTCGAGCAGGTCTTCTCGAGTCAGTGACCGGATGTCTGAGTCGATGCATAAATCTGCCTCTGAAACAAGTTGGATTTACCTGCGATTAAAACTGAAACCTAATCCTGTTGTTATGTTTATTGTTTATTTGCAATAGTCACCCTCGCCCAACATAAAAATGGTCTCTTACCTCGCAGAACATCAGCAGCATCACTGTCTCGATTCCCTATTTCCTTCAGTAAATCTGACGAGTGTCCTGTGGAAAAGACAGGCAGATTTAACACATGGATTTAAATGTATATACCACACTGATGTCTTTTTTTCCCGCAAACTATTTGGAAACAACAAAAGTTTGAACAGTTGTGTAGATTTAGCACAACAAAAGCTTAGAATTGATTTAATGGAGCTGTTGCACAAAAGGTCCCAAACACTTATTTTCCATTTTATTATCATAATATGGTATTATTTTGAAGCTTAAAATATTTGTTAAACCTATGCTAAAAAAAGCTTTCATTTGAGTTAAAATAGAATCCTACAGTGAATATAACAAATAGCGTGTATGCAGTGGTGCAATGTAACTAAGTACATTCACTTAAGTACATTTTGACATACGTGAGTAATTCGGTTTTATGCTCCTTTACAGTATACTTCTCCTTCACTACAATTCAGAGGCAAGTATCGTACTTCTCACTTCACTAGATTTATTTCACGCTCATAGTTACACCACCTTTTTACATAAAAAAAAAATGGCAGTTTATATGATATGAGATAGTAATGTCCTGCTTACCTAACCATTACTTTACTTTTGATACTTTAAGTACATTTAGCTGCTAATACATCTGCACTTCTTCTGAAGTAACCTTTTTAAATCAGGTATCGGTATTTTTAGTAAGTAGTATTTGTACTTTTGCTTAAGTAACAGACCTGAGTACTTTTTCCACCTCTGCATGAATGTGATACCAGATTCAGTTAGATATTAGCCATACTCAACCAAATAAAACACGTGAATGGGACTGCTGTAGTAAATGAACAAACTAAGGTGGTGGTATCCGGTCAAAAGCTCCAGACAAAATGTAGTAAGTGAAATGTAATTTTTAATATTAAATGACAGATGGGTTTGTCAGTCAATATATAACCTCTAGTACTATTTAATGCATATGTTTTGGTTTGTAAGGATGTTCATTTATTTTAAAAGGTGGTTTGCTCTCTATTGCCAAAGAGCCACAAATAAACATCATTAGATTTGAAGTGGAAGAGTGTGAGATTCACCATGTGTTTCTTGAGGGGGGATGTTACCGAGGGGCTCCTTTAGATTGGGGGCTGATTCCGGGTCCGGCTGATTTAGGAGGTTTTCTTCGAGAAAACGAATGTGAGCTTCATGGAAACTCAGGATATGCTTCACATGGGTCTGCATTTCCTTCATGATACAGAGGTATTCAACCAAGACCCCGTTGCCTGTTAGAGCAGCTGAGAGAGAAAATCAGGTTGTTGGATGGCAATATTAACAATTACTTATATTTCCTATCTTTGTAAACAAAACTAAATGGCAAGTGTGTGCCAATGTGAAAGTGTAAGTATTCTTAAAGGCTGTACATACCCTTGAAATCTTCACTTGGGATGAAGTTTTTCATTTTTCTTAGAAGCAGACCAGGCTCCTGAAACAAAAAATATTATATTGAAGAATTATTTAGTGATTCGTTTTTATTAGGGATGCTCCGATCGATCGGCCGCCGATCGATATCGGTCGATACTCACTCTTTGCCGATCGATCGGTGCTCTCTAAACATGCCGATCGCGATCGCCTGACGTAAAATGATGACGTAAAATAATGACGTAAAATACATGACACTTTTCTCTGTGCGCGGCAAAACAAGCTCGCCAAAATGGCTTCACCGGTCTGGCAGTATTTTAAGGTGTTCGAAAATGACAGTAAAATATGGGCATAGATATGTCTCATAATTATTTGTGTGAACATAAAAATAATTTGTGTGTAAATATGTGATTTGTAAATGTAAAACAACATCCACAAATGCATTTAAAAGATTTGCAAACTCACAAATAAATGTGCAAGTGTAAAACGGATCTGCAAATACGCTAAATATGTTCACAAATAAAAAAAGATCTGTGAATATCTCTTTAACATTTACACCTTTCGATCAGGCATTTGTGAATCCATTTTGTATTTGTGGACCAAAAATGCGCTTGCGGATCTCAAATCTCTGTTCACGGATCTCAAATCTCTGTTCGCGGATCGTCTTTTTACACACACGGAATTTTGAGACATATTTTCCGCCGGTCTCGGCTAAAATCTACTCGTGTCACTCGGTTATTTTCGGAAACCACGTGATGGCCTGCTGATGACGACATTTCCGCATGATTTCAAAGTAAGAGCATGATGGCTTGTTTAATGCTCTGTTTTTGTATTATAATGAACAGCGGAACGTTAGATGCATTCTTTATCACCATCACCATCATCATCATCATGTTATAGTGATACAGTTAGTTTGTGTTATTGGTTCAATATAGCATATATCGAGCACTTTCGTTGATGTTGAAGTGCAGGCTATACGCCACTTTCGGGTCCCGGGGGGAGCAGCTGGCAGCGAAACAGCCCAGATAAAACTCTTTCTTCATTGTTTGTTGTGTATTCAGTCAAGCGGGTCGAAGTTACAAAGCACTTCACATCTTATTAATCGGCCTAATTTTACCTTACCAGTGCAGTAATAAAGTAATCTGTAGAAAAGCACCGTATTTAGGTCAGGGTTATGGTGATGAAGAATGCATCTAACGTTCCGCTGTTCATTATAATACAAAAACAGAGCATTAAACAAACCATCATGCTCTTACTTTGAAATCATGCGGAAATGTCGTCATCAGCAGGCCATCACGTGGTTTCCGAAAATAACCGAGTGACACGAGTAGATTTTAGCCGAGACCGGCGGAAAATATGTCTCAAAATTCCGTGTGTGTAAAAAGACGATCCGCGAACAGAGATTTGAGATCCGTGAACAGAGATTTGAGATCCGCAAGCGCATTTTTGGTCCACAAATACAAAATGGATTCACAAATGCCTGATCGAAAGGTGTAAATGTTAAAGAGATATTCACAGATCTTTTTTTAATTTGTGAACATATTTAGCGTATTTGCAGATCCGTTTTACACTTGCAAATGTATTTGTGAGTTTGCAAATCTTTTAAATGCATTTGTGGATGTTGTTTTACATTTACAAATCACATAATTACACACAAATTATTTTTATGTTCACACAAATAATTATGAGACATATCTATGCCCATAGTAAAATAGCGGTATGCAACGTGTGTGAAGCAGAAATCCTGCAGCTCCGCCCGCAGTGACGGACCGGTGAGCGGTGACCTAACACACTTAGCTATTTTATCTACCTCTGGAACAAGCTCAACTAGTTATAAATATGTTTATTCTTCACTGTCGGGTCACTCATTACTGGATCAGTGAGCTGCATGAGATACTGACAGGCTGTCAGGGGAGAGAGAGGGAGAGGAAAAGAGAGTGCTTCCGCTAATTTCTCCCGTGTTATTCTCCAAAGTTAATGTAAACTTGAATAATGTACTTCATTTGAATGTAATAATTATGTTGGTTGTTGTTTGTGGAAGCGCCAGTGAATGAGCCCCATTAACTTGAGTATTAAACATCACTTTAAATGGAAGATCCCCATAGGCCACGCCCACTCGATCGGAATCGGCCGATACTGATTCCGGCGATCGGATGTTTATTTTCATTTTTACAAATCAAGACATAGGACTGATATGGTAAAACAGAATATGAAATAAAATAAAGTAAAAAATAAAGTAAAACTGTTAAATAAGGAAATAAATAAGATAATTATAAAAAATGTATTAATAGTAAAGTAAATACAAATAAATAAATGCATTTTACACAAGGAGTGACGTCTTTAGCAGAGCCGGATCAGTTACACTGGGACATTTTCCATAATGTTCTTTTGAAACTCAATTAAGTTAAAACAACCCTTTTCAACTAGCTAGACATCCAGGTAGGCTATCTTTTAACACCATTCTCATTTGTATCCTTGCTGTCATCTTTTCCATTGTGTATTGCTTTTAAATTGTCTATTGTTTTTAATTGTACTTGTTTTACGGTGTGTGAGCTGTGCTGTGTGAGTTTTTTAAAATATGTTTTTGTTTGTTTATTTGACTGTACAGCACTTTGGTCTGGAGGTTTTAAAGTGCTTTATAAATAAAGCTGTATTGTATTGTGTAGACCTGTCTGTGCCTCCACTGAATAATTGTCGGAGGTTTTACGTTTTTCCAGTTCACAGTTATCGTCTTCTTGGCAATTAATAGTAGTAGGCCTATGCGTAATATGTACATTTGGTCCGGATTGCATGTTTCTGTAGGTATAGCTCCGAGCAAGAACAACATAGGCCCTAGTGGGACAGTCACTTCCAATATGTTTTTAATTTCCTCCTTAACAGACTTCCAAAATCCTTCTATTAATGGGCAATCCAAAAAGATGTGTGTATGATCCCTTATATTTCCACATTTCTCCAACATAATGCAAAAATGTAACAATTTAAATGTTCAGCTCACCTGTATCATTTCCAAGATGGTCCTCCTCAGTTTGAGGTACTTATGTCCAGGAAACAACTCGAGCAGTTCTGTTAGTGACAGGGTGTCAGAGTCATTGCGTATACCTGCGTCTGAAACAATTAACACGGTTTGTGTTATTTGTGCTTTTAAAACTGAAACATAGTAGGCCTACTATAACTATGCTAATGGTTTATTTTCAATAGTCACTTCTTCAAGATGGCCACTTACCTTGCAGAACTTTAGCAACATCCTTGTGTTCCCCCTTTATTTTCTCTAGTAAATCTGTCATGACTTCACCTAGGGAAACAAAACAGACAGGCAGATTCAACATTATGACTTCAAGAGATAAAATAAAGGCAAAAGCTGTATAAGGAACTTTCCAGAACATTTAAAGGTCAAGTGACACCTGTGTCACGGTGGGTCCTTATGGGTTTTACGGTATTTTATGAAGGGTTTTTTAAAAAAGAGGCATGTTTTTCCATGGAGAACAAAAGACAGTTCTCAACAGAAATAGAAGGTTTCTGCTGTGATTCCACTCATAATTTGACCAATGGCCAGACGTCAGAGTCGATGCATTAACCTGCCTCTGAAACAACAGACTACCTGTGACTACAACTGAAACCTAATCCTGTTATTTGCAATAGAAAAAAATAGTTGCTTACGTTGCAGAACATCAGCAGAATCTGGGCGTTCATTCCTTAGTCCCCCTGATAAATCTGACATAACTTCACCTGCAGGGAAACAAAAAACCGACAGGCAGATTCAACACATGGATTTCAATGTATATACTCTACTAATTACGTATTTATCTTGTAAAATATTGTAATACAAACATACCTTTAGTGCTGACAAGCTCAACTCGAAAGACGAAGAGAAGATTGTGAGAGGAAAACGAAAGTAATCTCTGATGTGATCGAAGCAAACGATATGGGCTTGATTTCAATTATTTGGTAACATATTAACAGATGTTGATAACGTTATCCGTCGATTATTCTAAAACAATAAACTATTCAAGACAGTATTTTCAATCTAACTTCGTACATATAATACCAGCGCCAATGTCAGCGGTGAGCCGAAAGTGAAAGTTAAAGATGAACGACGTTAATTTACATGGAGGAGGCTCAAACTGTGATTGGTCGCTGGAGCAGCGTGATTGACACATCTGAGGTCCCGCCCTCTGAAAAAAACATTGTTGACATGTTTTGTACACTGCTCTTAAGTTAAGAAGTAAATTATTATATATATTTAATTAACACATTTGTATGCTAATATTAACATATACATTTATAATTAAATGCAGTCAGGAAACTATGCCTTATTCAACTTGTCTTTTTAATTTTTAATTTAGCAGGGTTTATATTCATCAACACTGAACAAACAATAATACAAAAATATATATACTTCATAAAAAAAACGCAGACAATATGATTGTACACCTGTGATTGCAGTTTATTATTTATCACCCGAGACCAGGCAATGTCCCCGGTAGAAACCGGGTGAAATAGCCAAAAAAAATAATAATAATAAAACCGGGGAAGTCCCCCACCCCAACGCAGCACACCATCCCGGCCATCAGAGTGGAACCCGCAGTTCGGAGGAGCCGGCCGCCAGAGCACCGGCACTAGGCCGGGCCGGCGCGGAGGCCCTCCGACAGTGGGTCGCGTTTGCCATTCAATCAGTGAGAGGAGAGGAGAAAAATGCAACAAAAATGGTCAAAATCCGTTAATATATGGATGAGTGGTAGAAAAATAATAAAACCGGGGAAAATAGGGGAGAGTGAAAAAAAGTGTCCGAAAATAGGCACTCGTGAGGCGGGCAGAGTCTCCTGTCAACTCCCGTTACATTCCTCCATGGTGTCATTTGAGCGAAACACTTTTACGAGAACCAGGCTGGGGGGGTCAAAAGGGCTTGACCAAGGCCGACCCAAAGTGCACGGTGGGCGGACTCATCACCTCCGTGATTAGTCTCCATTGTGATTTGAAAAATTCCATCAAACGAGTCCTTCGGTGGGCGAAAAAAAAAACGTGTTCGACAGAATCGTCACTTCCTGTACTGACTGTGGAGGTGTCCTGAGAGTGCAGCCTGCACCAGAACTGTCCTGAGAGTGGAGGTCTGCAGGCAGGTTCCCATGCAAAATAGACTAAACAGTCTTTAGTTTTTAAAAATGCGAGAAAGAAAATGGCAAAACACACGACATTATGAAGCTTAATAGATTCAAGAGCAGGTAAAGAGAAGAGGATTCTTTGTTTAGCTGTTTACACTCATAAATACAGACATCATTACACCACAAATAATAGCTCAACTCATTTTTACAAAGGAGGATAAAATACTGTTTTCTGCAATCGCTACAAGAGTAAAATTACAAGGCAAATCTGTCTAATCAATCAAATTTTGCCTGCTTTAATTTAGTTGTTAGTGATTCCTTACATTTAGTTTTACATGGAACAACAGATGTCCCTACAACCCTGGGCATTTCCACTAGTATCACTTCTTTTTGAAATGGGGAAATCTAGTAATTTCTTTTTTATCTCGCAAACAGCAGCTCTATTTTCTTTACAGTTGAGTAATCCACGTTTCGTCTCGTGGAAGAAAACGTTGACTTGCAGCTGAACGTTAGCTCCTTGTTGCACATTTGGAATGAACTTGGCCTCATATGCGTGGTACAACAAAACCAGAATGACAGGTTTATCACCTGAGGACACAAAAAGAGAGGAGGACAAATGAGAAATGTTTATGTTAAAGCTATTTATGTAAGGTTTGATGTGGAAAGCAATTCTAAGAGAAGATACATTATTATTAAATCATGTAACTTTTTTGTTTAATCCTAAATACAAATATATACACGTATACATGTTGGTAAACTAACTTTGCTTGGACAAAAAACCGATATAGCCATTTCCATTCAGTATGAACCAGCTGAAACAAATGTTCCCTTACCTTTGACATCTCTCAGGGCTGACTCAACATCTGGTCCCATGCGAGAAACGATGGGGCAGAAGACAATAGTGACATCGTAGTCATCGCTGTTGCTTTGAACAAGATCAAACTGATCCTGAACTTCCTTCTTCACTTTCTCCATCAGCTGATCATGTGCACCAAAGGTTGTCCCGCTAACAACAATATGGTACACCAATTCACCTGTAGGGAAGAACATGGATGTGACTATGAAACATATTCATATACTTACATAACTTGAGAGAACATAACACATGAATAAAATAATATGTTTTGTTATTCAGTTCCAAAAAATGGGTTAACTTAGCCTGAAGTCATGTGCATTGTGTTATATTTGAACTGCTGATTTTCTAATTATCCATCTATGACTCACCTTCCCGTACAGTCACACCCTTGGAGCGCTCTTCTAATGAGAAAAACAGAGACATCAATCAGTCAGATTCATTCACACTCAAAAGTTTGTGATCTACTTCCAGTAAAGCTTGGATGGATACAGTCAGATTGCTGAGAGCATAACACTATTACTTTAATTTAACCCATAATAACCGGGACCCATTTCTACTTTTGGGGAAATTAAGGGGAACGTGATTTAGACTAAATAGACCACCTCGAACACATGTCTGACAAGTAACTCCCCCTAGTGTCAAATATCTGAAATGGCTTTAATGGTAAAATAACTCTTATTTATAACTTAATTAATGAGGATGATTTTTTGGTTTAAATTAGTTTGAATTGAAGCATATAATTGAATCAGCTAAATTAACTGAGCAGATCCTAATAATATTTCTAATTGTGACATAAAGTCACTCCGGGTTTACTGTGAAACTTTAGGGTTCAAGTCCCGATGTGACATCAGCGATGTTTGTCTCATTTGTTTCATATCTATTTGATCAAGAAATGGTTCCACAACAGGTTAAATGTAATAAAGGACATGTTATGTAAACATTGTAATTCTTAAAGGTCCCATGACATGGCCATTTCTACTGATCATAATTCCATTGTTGAGATATACTAGAATAGATTTACATTGTTCAATGTTCCAAAATGACATTGGTTTATCATACAGCATCTCTGTATAGTATGTGTATTCACTCTCTGTCCTTAATGGCTTATTGGAGCTTCTGCCCCCCCCCCTCCCGAGCCCAGTGTGCTCTGATTGGTCAGCTCGCCCACTATGTTCTGATGAGTCCACCACCGTTACAGCGGAACATCAGTGATTATGTGTTACAATGGCGTTTGTTAGCAACCAGAAAATGACACCAGCGCAATGACAAACAGATGAGAATGCTGCGTGGGGTCTGGGTGCCGTATTGGCGGGACGTTGCGGGGCTCGCTGCTGGAGTGGACAGTGTGAGCTGGATTACTGGTGTCATTTCCTGGTTGCTGCGTGGGGTCTGCGAGACAGCGAGACAACGCGAAACTCAGCCTCGGCACACACACACACTCGTAGCCTGGCTGTGAGTTTGTGTGTGTGCTCAGGCTGAGTTCACGCTGAGTTTCGCTGTGTCTCGCTGTCTCAGGCTGAGTTCAGGCTGACCAATCCGCGTAGCCGTTACATCACTTAGCCCCTTACGTCACTACGACCCAGGAAGAAAAAAATGGAAAAAGAAAAATCTCCAACGAGGCGTTCTGTTCTGACATGTCTTTTCTGTGTTTGTGTACTTTGAGGATTTTTGACTCTGCAGACCGTTTTCATGCATAAAAAGCTGCAAAACACACAAGGGGACGGGTAATAACATGATGGGACCTTTAAATGGCTTGAATTTTACCTTTAGCAACAAAAAAAGCTTTTGAAATGTAGCTAGTTCTGTCACGTGTTAGCCTGGCACATGGACATATTGGACATGTTGTTATGGGAACACAAAATCACGTGCCCTGGACCATGACTCACCAGACTGTTCAGGGTGTGTCCATACAGTCTATGGGTGTGTCGTAGGGACTTCAAGAGATAAAATAAAGGAAAAAGCTGTATAAGGAACTTTCCAGAACATTTAAAGGTCAAGTGACACCTGTGTCACGGTGGGTCCTTATGGGTTTTACGGTATTTTATGAAGGGTTTTAAAAAAAAAGAGGCATGTTTTTCCATGGAGAACAAAAGACAGTTCTCAACAGAAATAGAAGGTTTCTGCTGTGATTCCACTCATAATTTGACCAATGGCCAGACGTCAGAGTCGATGCATTAACCTGCCTCTGAAACAACAGACTACCTGTGACCAGACCCGGCGGCAGACATACGTCTCTGGGCGGGCATTTGATTTACCAGGGCGGGCCCACCCCGAAATTCACATTTCCCGGGAAATCTCGAGATTTGTCAAGGGGGGGGGGGGGGGGGGGGGGGTTTAGGTTGCCATAAGGCTGTTGACGGTCTTATTATAGGCTACATCCATTGGTTGGTTTTGTGGCACATTTGTAACGCTGTGCCAACTTGGGCAAGCATGCAGGCAAACTTGAGCACACACAGGGTGGAGAGGTGAGTAAGGTTGAGCGATTGAGAGAAAGGGAGAGAGAGAGAGATTGAGCGAGGCAGAGAGCATGTGCAGCGGTCTGCTTGCGCACAGAGCAGGAGTTTGTGAGAGAGCCGGCTTGAGAGTCAATTTCTCTTCAAAATATAATTGATTGCCAGCCTCCCTTGTCCCTGGCTGGCTTGCTAGCTCGTTGGTAACTGATGTCTTCTAATGTGCCTGCATCTGGCGCTGAGTTGCCATATTCCTTTCAAGTGTATAAGTGTGAACCACTTCCTGATATCCATTGTTGCAGATAAATATAAATGATAATAGCCAAACTAACCTAGCAAGCGTAAACTGACAGGCTACTGTGCCGCATCTCACTCAAAAACCCACACGACTCAACCCAGCGAAAAACCAGTCTCGCGCGCAGCCTTTCATTCGGAATTTCATTCAAAATGTAATTCTGAATTTCATAGCATAATAAAAAAAATTATATTAAACTAATCTTTCAACATAGTTTAAAACAAAAATAAATATTAGGACAAAGCCCTACAAATAACAACAATAAACATAATCAGTGGCGGCTCCAGAGTGTTTTTGTTGGGTAATAGGGCTAACCCATACAGTGGTGGGGCTCAAGTCAGTATTTGCAATGTAATTACATACACGCTCCCCTTGACAGTGAAACGCCA